GGGGTGGCAAGCGTGTGCCCCGCTCCACAGCTGGCGGCCAGGCTCAGAGAGGGGGCAGCTGCCCAGTGCACAGCCAGGAGCCCCGGCCCGGGGGCCCAGTCCCGGCGGGGGAGGCTTCTGAAAGCCACGAGCCTGCTGCAGCGGCCTGCCTGCCCTGGGCTCCAAGCAGGACACCTCGCTGCACCCCCAGTCTCGAAAGAGCCCCAACAGCTCTAACACAGCCCCAGAGCTCAGCGCAGTCTCCCAGTCCAGGGGGCCCTGGGGCGTCCTGACCTGGGAGGACAAGCACAGTTTGAGGCCTCCTGGCTGGCCAGTGGCTCACCCGCTAGATTCTGGGGTCCCAACGGGAAGCTGATGGAGCCTCCCTGTCCCTGCAGGTGACCCCAGGATCCTGGGCCGCAGGGACCCATTCAAGCGGTGCCCGCCCACCCTCCGAGGCAGCGCTTCCTCAGTGCCTCGGTGTCTGCTCTGCAAAGCAGTCTCCGCCACGCAGGCCTGAGTCACTCCCGCCGGCCCCACAGGGGGCCTCAGCGGCCCCTGTGCTCCAGGAGAGCCGCATCACGCCCAGCTCGACAGTGCCCAGGGCACCCCAGCGCCGTCAGCGAGACCCCAGTCCTCACCACGGCCCCAGGTCCCCACGGGTGGGCCTCGGGACCCTCTGACAGGCGACCACCTCTTGGGCGGCCCCCACACCGGCTCACCCCGCCCTCCTCGCACTCTCCCGCGTGCGGCTTACGTCTTCCCAGCCGCAGAGGTCTGACGGAGCCTGGTGCTCACACATGTCCTCAGCACCAAACGGGGCCTCACAGGGCGGCGACCTCACTCTGTCCCCGGGGCTCACCGGCCACCTGCCTGCCAGTCGGACACCTGCTGTGGGCGGACCCCGTCCAGCAGAGCCCTGGGAGGACACGACCCCCCTCCGCCCAGGCTGCAGACCAAGACCCAAGGCCAGTCACCCCCTGGGCTGGTCCAAATGCACGCGCCAGGGACCCCAGAAGCCTGCGGGGCCGCCTCCTGCGACTTCACTGGTGGGCGGGTGTGAGAAGGCTGCGGGCTGCAGACAGGGCCGGACAGGGTGTGTGCCACCTGCCCCAGCTGCAGCTGCCCAGAGCAGGTGGGGCAGGGCCCAGGGTGCTGAGGCTTTCTGCCACTGGCCAAGGGTCCCAGGGACGTGCGTCCCCTGCACAGGTGGTGGGGGCGGCTCGCCTGGGTGGGTCCCTCGGACCGTCCACCCCAAGAAGAGTGGGTCTCATTAGATGACTTTCAGGGTCCAGTGCTTTTGGGGTCCAGCGCAACGCAGGGGCCGGGTCACAGGTGTGTGATGGTGCCAGCCGCGGGGAAGTGAGCCCCAAATGCCCATGAAGAGCCCAGCTAGGCTTGCTGCCTTTGCGGGCGTTGTGAAGCAGACACGCGGCACACAGCAACTCCTTTCTTCTTCTTCTTTTTTTAATAGTTTATTTTTACATCATTTGTGCCTTTTTCCATCTCAGTTATAATCCCCGTGGGCTTCTCATCACCAAATCACCATAGTCCCGTGCACTCCCTCCACCCCCATTTTTGATCCCAGTCCCCACTCCACCCCCGTAAAATGTCTCTGGTATGTAGTTGTTCATCATTATGATTATTATTATTTTCTTCCCTGGCCCTTTATACTCCTGCTATGAGTGAAACCATCGGTATTTTTCCTGACCCCTACCAGCCCCACCCATCTTGCTGCATAAGGCAGGGGTTTATCTTTTCGACTGCTGAGTAACAGTCCATGGTGTCTATGCACCACATCTTTTTAATCCAGTCACCCACTTTTGGGCATTTGGGCTGCTTCCAAGTCTTTCCGATTGTGAATAAAGCAGCAATACACATGGGGGTGCAGGTGTCTTTTTCAATCAGGGTTTTTGTGTCTTTTGGGCAGATACCCAGGAGCGGGATTGCTGGGTCGTAGGGAAGCTCTGTGTTTAGCAGTGTGAGAACCTCCAAGCAGCTTTCCATAGTGGTTGTACCAGTTTGCATTCCCACCAGCCATGCAGGAGAGCTCCTTTCTCTCCACATCCTCACCAACGTGCTAGTTGTTGTAAGCTGTGCCACTCTCACTGGGGTGAGCCGGCATCCCATTGTGAACATCGTCTCTCTGGCAACCCAGCTTGTCCTGGCTTTGAAGGTTTCAGCACTTAGCGCAGGCCAGAGACTGGAAGGCTGGAGACCAGAAGCCCACCCTCACCACCTCCCTGCCCACACGGCGCCCCTCACCTGCAGGGCGGCAGCTAAAGTGCACCAGCAGCCCTGGCCGCTCATCCCTCTGTCGCCCTTGCAAAACTAACTCGGCCCACAGGTCATCGTGCCGGGGATCGGTCTCAGCGGCAAGCTCACGGCGCTCAGAGGATTCCAGGGCCTGACAGCCACAGGCCCCTTCTTGGAGGGAATCGGCCCAGAACTGCTCAGAGCCGCTGGGGCTCAGGACGGACAGACTGGCTGCAGTACCAGCCCTTCCCGCCTCCAGGATGAACTGGCCTCTCTAGAGAGGGGGAGGGAGGCAGGGCCAGCGGGGGTGTGAGTGCTGCCGGTCACTCACTCACCAGAAGTTCCCCATGCCGGGAGCAGAAGACAAAGTCCAGCCCCTGCGGGGTGCATGTGTGGGGGGGGGGGGAGTGGCAGACCAGCAGGGAAGAAACAAGTCAGCCCACAGGGCCTGTGGTGTCCGGAGCCTTAAGAAAGAACTGGCGGGACGGCGGTGAGCGGGCTCGAGGGGGCCCTGCGGCGGGTGCCGCGAACCCGGGCCCCGTGCGGTGGCCAGAGCCGGGTGTGCGGCTGGGCAAGGAGGGGGACACGGAGGCAGAACTGAGGCTTGGGGAGAAAAAGGTCGGGGGCGCGTGATGTGGCTCCCACACCGGGGTGCGGGGAGGCCTGGGTCCCCACCCTTCGGTCGGGCAGGACCTGTGCTTTCTTCACCGCGGGTTTCCCCGACGACTGAGGCCATCCAGCTGCTCAGCTGCAGGCTCGGCTCTGCACGCAGCGCGCTCGGCAAGCAGGAGCTGACGTTCCCACACGTCCCACGGTGGTTCCTGTACCTGGACACGCAGGTTCCGCGCGCTCAGAGTCAGGCCCCTGCAAGTGCGCGCTGCCCTCACTCCGCAGAGTGCTCCTGTACAGGCCCAGCAGGCCCGTGGCCGCAGGGCGGCCATCAAACAGGGCTGCAGCCACGGCGCAGTGGACGGGCTCCGGCTGCGGGCGGTCCGGGCCACGGGCCGGAGCGCTGAGTTCGCCCCGGCCACTCAGCCGCAGCGAAGGACCCCCGGCCACAGGTCACCCACCCCGCCCCTGTGGCAGCCCTGACTGGCGAGCAGGCTACCCTGGGGGCCGCAGAGACGAGTGGGGCGGTGTCGGCCCACTTGTGGGAGGAGGCGCGGGCGCACCCCTCAAAGGCTAACTCTTGGCAAGCCGCCACGGGCCTGGGAGGAAGGGGGTGAGCCGGGGGCTGGCTCGAGGGCACTGTGCCCAGCGGAGTTGCAGCTCTGCCCCCGCAGCTTGGTCGTGGGAGGTTCCGTGGCTTTCTCTCAGCCACAAGGGGAGGGGAGCGCCGTGCAGGGCCCTTGTGAGGACCGGAGAGACAGTGAGTGACAGGCGCCCGGCCCGGGCCTGTGCCTCTCCGCTGCGTGGCGCTGGCCGGGGTGACCAGCACAGGTCTGTGCGCTGAGAGTGGACTAGCCAACCGGGATTCTGCCCTGACGTTTACGCCATTCGGTGCTCCTTTCTTAAAGCACCGGGCGTGCCGTTTGATGTTTCTATGCTGCGCGGTGTGCAGACTGGGATTTTGTTTCTCAGCTCGCTATTGTGAAAGATCGCCAGCCTGCAGCGGTCAGGATTGGGCAACACGTGCCCTCGGCGCTCGTGTGGTCAGGCCTCGCCCCGTCCTCGGCCTCACCTCAGCCCTGTCCTTCCCTCTCGAGGACTAAGTGGGTCAGCGGGGCTCGGGGGCGGCTCCCGACAGAGCAAGCTCAGGGAAGGGGAGCGGCGTCTGCTTCACACACAGCGTGCCGGTGCCTGGCTGCTTCTGGGGAGGACGGGTCCGTCCCTGGCGGAGAGGGGGCGCCAGGCCGGCCTCCCCGGCCCACCTGCCCCCCCGGCCCTGCCGCTCTGAGGTCCTGCCACCAGTGCCCTGGAACCCTGGCCACGGCCCCCACCCCGTCTCTGCGTGCGCTGCCTCCCGAGGGCACACGACCCACCTGCGGCCATTGCCAAGGAGGGGCAGGCGCCCAGCAGGTCCAGAGGGCGGCCCACGCCCCAGCCCTGGGCTCCACACAGCCCGCGCTGAGTGCACTTGAGGGAGGGCAGCCCGGGGCCGGGCCATGTGGCCAAGCCGCCGGCGGGCTGCCCGGGAGCCGGGGCGGAACCACAGGTGGGCAGGGCGGCGCGCAGACCCCTGAGGTGAGCGCTCTGGGCGGGGAGGGGTGCCCCGCCAGCCTGACCCTGGCAAGGGCTGTGCCTCCCAGAGCAGGCACCGGAAGGAGGTGAGGGGTCGAGGCCGTGGAGCCCTGGGAGAGATGCGGGACCTCTGGCCAGGAGTGGAGCCCAGCCAGCGGCTCCCACGGCCACGCCCCCCGCGCGGCGCACGAGGCCGGCAGCCCCGGCGGGCCGACGTGGCGGCTGTCCGGCCTCGGTGCCAGTTTCCTTATCTGCACGTGCGGGCTGGGCTGGGCTCACTCCT